TGTTCAATAATAAAATTATTCCTCAAAAATACAACTTTCCTAATAATTCTGCACTCCCTGTATATCCAGAGGTTAAAGCAGGACAGAACGATCCAGAATGACATTCCAGCTTTTCCGCTTAATGCATAATCAAATAGGTGAGTTAAATTTCAGTGTGCTGCAGCCTGGTGTTGTTTCCAGTTGAAGGCATGGAAAATGTAGTCAGTAAATTACAAGCAAACATTATCCCACTGTCTTGCTGACACTGTCAACACAATATAATGCCTGTTATTCATTCAAGGTGCAGGTGAACATAAAGTTGGGATTGTGGAACTTCAACATATAGTGAGCATAAAGAGAGCAACTGTGCTTAAAGTGCCGTCCCCCAGGGAAGAAAAAAAATTGTGATGGCCACCAGTGCTACTTCCTAGTAGATGCGCCTATGGAGTAAATTAGAAAATGCTATGTTATTTTCAAAAAAGCTGACTTCTGACCTTGAGGTTGAGGTCATTGAGATTCAAACTCACAGGGACTTTTAGTAGCTGGACCTATGGTATGAATTTCAAAATCCTATGTCGCCTCATTCTCAAGTTCTTGCATTTACAAACTTGGGTGTCCAGGCTGCCTGCCCCCCTGGCAGAGTGACAATAATACCGCATGAGCTATTGGCTGAGGGGTAAAAACATCTGAGAGTCAGAGAAAGACGTCAGTAAGTCAATGAGAGGACAGGAGAGGAATTTATATATCCAAAAATATATATACCAGCTTCTAAAGTGCGGCATCCCTGAAAAAGCTAGAAAACCACTGGGATAAATAAATGTAAAATCTGCCACGACAGTAGATTTAATATCTTCTTACATGTTGATAAATTGTGCTGTCTAAATCTATAAAGAGTAAAAGTAAAATTCAGAGTCAACAGAGCACGGGTCAGCAGATCACAGCATGCTCACAAATAAAACACATTTACGGGAACAAAGAATATAAATTATTGTTAGAAGTTATTCTTTTTCACATGCTGTACTCCTTCACCTGATCTAAGGGTTTAACTCCTAAGTACAGCTCGTGTCTAGTGAATATGAAGTGTCTGTGTTTATTTTTAGATTTTACTACATTTGCAAATACTTTCCATTGTGCAGGCCATGTTGGACTTCACTGCAATTAAATTGGTCAAGACTTACCATACAGAAAAGCATCTTACTGCTCTTTGGTTTCGCTCCAAGAAAGACTATTTAGTCTCTTTTGAAGAACAGATTAGAATAAAAACAAGTGAAGAAGTGTAGAGCTGGGTGAATTAGAAAAAAGTGGAAATACTACTTCTGGTGACACTTTCAGGACTTGTTATAGCAGTATTTGCAAACTCGTGGAATGACTAATGCTTTAAATCACCTCAATGTGACCTCAGCGCTACAGATATCCAAACATTTATTTAAATGTCCGAGCCAAAAAGATAATCAAGTCAAACCATGGCAAGAAATTTGGGAGTCAGTTGAGGTCAGATGTCAAATTAAACCAATGGAAGAGGAATGGAAACCCTATAACATAGACTGGCTTTGGTTTCTGTTGGTTTTAATTTTTCTGTTTCAGTTGTGACAACCCTGCCATGCAGTCCTTACACAACTGTGTCTTTTCCTCTTAATCAGGCACTGTGTGCTGCCTACATTTTATACTTGGTCCCTTCTTCTCTTTCTGAATCCCTCTGCCTTCCTACACTTTGGCTGTCTCTTCACTGTACTTCTGTAGGTGCTCGTCATCGTCCCTGAAAAGCTTCAGGGACCACAAGCTCGTGTGACGCATTCTGCCCCCTAAAGGACTAAAAAAAGAAAACGTCCAGTCACACTCACAGCATTCAATATGGTTCACAGATGTCTCTGGAAAAAGCAGATTCAAAAGAGTCGCCAGAAAGAAATACTCATTCATGACACAATGCAATTCACCTGAAACAAATAAAAAGACTTTATTTCAGTGATTATTAACAAGGACTGAAAGGAAGAGGGCACACTGTGATTCTACCCTCCCCTCTGCATGTTTCAGTCGTCATCAACCATAATCGCTTGAACATTCTGCTGCAGGCACCAAGTTTGAAGAGAATACTGGACTGTTCACACAGAGAGGCAATTAAAAACCACCACAGCCAGTTCGGCAATACTGCAAGGCCACCATGGGCTAGACTCACACGTAGCTCAAGAATAAGTCCATGTAGAGTTCCAAGGCAGATACGTTGCTGACCTCTGTGTTTTGTTCAAAGGAAAACCGTGCAGAAATTTCATTTTAAATAATTTGAGTCTCTTTGTTGTTCAACGTCCTTCTGGAAAGGTAATGTTTTTTTTGTTCTCAGTTCAGATGACTTTTGTAAAATAAATTATTACAGAAGTACATAAAGTTCTGGCAGCGGTCTGTCCATGTCAGTTTCACAAGGAAGAGGAGAGGGCCATCCATCAACTGACCTTACCCCCATCCTCATTTTCATATCTGGAGGCAAAAATAAGAGAGAAGGGGCACACTCCTAATGAACGTTTTCAAAGTCATCATCTCACACGCAGCCGTGACATCATCCACTCAAGACCCTGGCACAACCTACAGGTTAAAAAAGAAAGAAAGACATTGGTGGAAGAGAGTGGGAGAGAAAAACAAAGAGAAAAGCATTAAGATAAAAAATTTTATACCGTACAAGAACAAAAGTTTAAGGGAAACTAATTGCTAATACTCTGGGCCTGTTACTGGTGTTATTTAGTAAAAGAATATGAAAAAATATTTAAAGTAATCACAAAATACTAAGTCTGCTAAATTTCACCCTTAATAAGCATCTCTTATTTTGCACCTGATGTGGCTCTGTGGTAGGTGTTGCTAGGAGTATTCAAGTGCATAACTGGCATGAACTGAAAAGAACTGAGCACCAGCGCCAAAGCTTTGGCTCTGTCCTATAAGTCATCATTAAGCCCCCATCCCAAATCTTTACAGCCAAGTCACACATATCGTGGCGATCGTGGCTCAAGAGTTGGGAGTTCGTCTTGTAATCGGAAGGTTGCTGGTTCGAGCCCCGGCTCAGACAGTCTCGGTCGCTGTGTCCTTGGGCAAGACACTTCACCTGTTGCCTACTGGTGGTGGTCAGAGGGCCCGGTGGCGCCAGTGTCCGGCAGCCTCGCCTGTCAGTGCGCCCCAGGGTGGCTGTGGCTACAATGTAGCTTGCCATCACCAGTGTTTGAATGTGCGTGTGAATGGGTGGATGACTGGATGTGTAAAGCGCTTTGGAGTCCTTAGGGACTAGTAAAGCGCAATACAAATACAGGCCACTTACATATTTCCGCAATAATACTGGTATCTTGATAAAACAGATGTTTTGTGTATTATTATAGGTAGCTAATTTATTTTATACAGTTGGCTGATGGGTTTGTAGTCTTTCATCAAATTTGTACACAGAGATCTTTCCATAATTAACATGATGAAAGCTCTAGGGTGCACAAAAGCCTCTGCATGTTTTTTCAGTAGTACATATACACGGTTCTGCTACAGCTCGGCTTTAACTTTCTATTATCAGATCTGTGACACACTATATTAATACGTTTGCCAGAATACAGCAGTTAAAGGGACTTATTGCTGCAATTTATAAATACCTGCCATGTCAAACAGCATGCAGGGAAAAGGAAATAGAAAAAAGAAGGACCACTGAGTGCATTTATGCACAAAACAGTAACTTCGTTAACGTACAAATGGGTCGAGGCTTGAAGCTAAATAATGTTTTGTGTCCTCCAAAAAGACACTGTTAGGCTTCCTGAGCTGTCAGATTTATCCACATACAGCCCCCAGCTATTTCTAACTGAAGAGAAACATATTGATTCTACTTTAGCTGACTCTCATTGATCTGAATTGCTGTTTCTGGAGAGAATCACATGCATGAAAGCTGCGCTTGTAATACTGTGGCTGGTACATTATTTGCTTCCTCATTGGGTCTGCTTTGTTTATGACTGGCTAATTTGTGCAGCTTTTGGTAGAAGGAGAGTCATTTCTCAAATGAACAGGCTGCCTCTTTGTTAATAAATGAGAGCAATGTTAGTAGATCACCCTCACAACTTTCCACTCCCTCCAGTGCAATTTGGAGATTTTAGCTTCATGTTAATTTGCCCTGCTTAGTAAGTCTGACCCTTCATCACATTTTCCCTGCATAAAAGCAAATACTATATAATTATTTAATGCATACGTAAATTAAAGTTTCTCATATAACAAGTTTATATCCTCACCCCTCTCCTGTGAGAGCACAACAGGCCTGGATGTGCCACTGGTGGTCTTTGACGGAGGTAAGCTGGAGGCTCTGGGAGATCTCAGCCACAGACATGCATCCTTTCACATCCTGCTTATTGGCAAAGATCAACAGTCCTGCCTTTCTCAAGTCCTGGAGGCCAGAGAAGAAACATCAACAGAGAAGCCAAGATAAGGAAACATTTGTTTGCTTTATGTGTATTTTTAACACTGTGATGAGTTAACAGTACAGACAAAATCTCATTTACTGAAAAATGACTGATAGCATCAACTCAGAAAGACATTTCATATTCAGTGTACATACAATGAACCAGAAAACAATAATATTGCTACACACTTTAAGTATATTTTCAGAAATATTTGAAATTTAAAAATGAAGCACCTTGAGATCAAGTTAATTTCTACTAGATTCTGACATGTGACAGAGCCTCATAAATAATGACTGCTGCATGGGTTTCCATTATTTCATACAACAATCCATTAATATTAATTTGAATATATCTAATAAAATGACATTATAATTATAAGCATCTTTGTCACTTTTTAAACGGTACTCACTTCATGTGCTAGCATTCTGTAGAGTTCTTCTTTGGTTACTGAGATCCTTTCTCTATCTGTGCTGTCAACCACCACAATTACAAACTAGTCGTAGAAGAAAGGGAGAAATAATGGACAAGTAATTAAATAACAACCCCTGCCAAACCACAGGCACAGTCATACATAACAGCACTGTAAGGGGAAGTTTTCAGAGTTTTCTTTCATTTAGTCAGAGTGAACATAATCTCATACCTCTGTGTTTGTGTAGTATGTATTCCACGATGACCTAAGAGACTCCTGGCCTCCAATGTCCCACATCAAAAAATGAGTGTTGTTGACGACTATCTCCTCCACATTGCTCCCAATTGTTGGGGATGTGTGTACCACCTCATTCATTGAACTATTAACATAAAAACAATCTTTAGGTTCTGTTGACAAGCAACATTTACAGAATAGCCACGACTATTTTTAATACATTATATGACTTGAAGAAAAAAAAAAAAAAAAAGGAAATCTAAAGACGCTTACTGTACAAGTCAGATTTGGATACTTACAACTGATAAAGAATTGTGGTCTTGCCAGCATTGTCCAGGCCCACAATAATAACCTTGTGCTCTGAAAGGCAAAAAGACAAAGAAATCACAGACTAACAGTGGCATCAATATCTGGGTTTAATTGCTAAGGACAAACTGATGTATGGCTCTTATGTAAACAAAGTGGTTGCTTCAAAAAGATGTCTGAATTGAGAGAATCAAACAATGAACTTTTTACTAATCCATACCGTCCTTTGGTACAAATTGTGTAGCTTCACACATCTAGCATCAGTGGGACATTGTGATGCTGCGAACAGTGTACCTTCACAGCTACAGATGAGTTAGTGGGCGGTTTAAAGCAAGCTTGTAGAGTCAGGCTGCAGCCATCAGCGACTGTGGATATAACATACAGACGTATCTTTCTAATGCACAAAAAAGCTTTAGTGAAAAAGATAAACAAGATGTGACAGCTGGGATCGATTTCCATCTTGCTGCTGATACAAACAGAAGGCAAGATGTCCAATAGCAGACACAAGCATAAGTCAAAGGTAAGGTTTTAACTTTAGCCTAGAGTGAAGGAACAAAGCGCTGATTATTATTTTCTTTAAAAAAAAAAAATTATGAAAAAAATTATGTTCCAATATTGCTGGTTGGTATAAGAGTACATTTGGTATACTGGTCATAATTTCTTGAATAACAGGAATTTTTCAATTTCTATTATCTAGATGTATGGCTTAACTAGAGCCTGACCAGTAGTATTTGCTGATATACTGGTACCAGTATTTATAATGGCCAATAAACGACAAAAAAAAAAAAAGTAAAGAAGGAACAAGAGAAACATCATTCAACCGTGTTATGAGTGTTGATGTGAGGGCTGCAACAAGTAGTAAACTAAAAATATTTGAATATTTAAATAGAGTTTTATAAAACCATGTAAATGTTTATTAGGAACAACAACATACTACAGCACGTCCTTGGGCCAGTATCAACTGCACTGTCTGCCATAACTGCACTAAATAGTAATGTGGCCCTAGAATGAAGGACAGAACAAGGGTAAATGTAAGGTGAATAAGATTATTATAATAAGTAAGTGAATAAGAAGAAAACTGGGGCAGACTTTAAAAAGCATGACGGCACAGAAAAATGTTGAATACAGACTGGGTAAAGCTTTCACATTTTTACATTATTATGAATATTATTGTGAAAGTTGTTCTAGAATTTGTCAATGCAGTTTTCTGCAGAATAATGAACCTCTGTCCATTTTTACTTCTGAGAAACTCACTGCTCTACTCAGTTAAGTTACTGGCCTGTCACCAGTTAACCTAGTTAGTTACCTAATAAAATCCTCCAGTTGTTTCTTTTTTAGTAATGCTTACTTTTATGAAACATTTGATGTCTTCTATGTTCTATTATTAATAAAATATGAAGTCATGAGATTTGCAAATCATTTTCTATTTACATTTTACAAAATTAAGTAACTTATCTCTATAAGAGAGCGAGATGAGGACTGAGGAGGAACAAAGACTGGTTGATGTCATTAGAAAAAAAACTAGTACATGACAGAAAAAGCATGCACTACCTTCTATTTGTATTAAGCTGAGCTTAACAGACTTATCTTCGTGTTTTGTTTATAGAAAAACTTGCGTCACAGGACAAATACA